GAGCCACAGCCCGGCTGATCAGGAACTGACTTTAGGTGCTTGTCCAGTGCCAGCTTGAAGACTGCCAGGGGTCTGTTGGTAATCCCCCTTATGTGTGCTGGGAGGCAGTTGAACAGTCTCGGACCCCTGACACTTATTGTATGGTCTCTTAACGTGCTAGTGACACCCCTGCTTTTCATTGGGGGGATGGTGCATCGTCTGCCAAGTCTTTTGCTTTCGTAGTGAGTGATTTTCGTGTGCAAGTTCGGTACTAGTCCTCTAGGATTTTCCAGGTGTATATAATCATGTATCTCTCCCTCCTGCATTCCAGGGAATACAGGTTTAGGAACCTCAAGCGCTCCCAGTAATTGAGGTGTTTTATCTCCGTTATGCGCGCCGTGAAAGTTCTCTGTACATTTTCTAGGTCGGCAATTTCACCTGCCTTGAAAGGTGCTGTTAGTGTGCAGCAATATTCCAGCCTAGATAGAACAAGTGACCTGAAGATTTGTCATCATGGGCTTGGCCTCCCTAGTTTTGAAGGTTCTCATTATCCATCCTGTCATTTTTTAGCAGATGCGATTGATACAATGTTATGGTCCTTGAAGGTGAGATCCTCCGACATAATCACTCCCAGGTCTTTGACGTTGGTGTTTCGCTCTATTTTGTGGCCAGAATTTGTTTTGTACTCTGATTGAAGATTTAATTTCCATGTTTACCATATCTGAGTATTTGAAATTTCTCATCGTTGAACTTCATATTGTTTTCTGCAGCCCACTGAAAGATTTGGTTGATGTCCGCCTGGAGCCTTGCAGTGTCTGCAATGGAAGACACTGTCATGCAGATTCGGGTGTCATCTGCAAAGGAAGACACGGTGCTGTGGCTGACATCCTTGTCTATGTCGGATATGAGGATGAGGAACAAGATGGGAGCGAGTACTGTGCCTTGTGGAACAGAGCTTTTCACCGTAGCTGCCTCGGACTTTACTCTGTTGACGGACTACTCTCTGTGTTCTGTTAATGAGGAAATTATAGATCCATCGACCGACTTTTCCTGTTATTCCTTTAGCACGCATTTTGTGCGCTATTACGCCATGGTCACACTTGTCGAAGGCTTTTGCAAAGTCTGTATATATTACATCTGCATTCTTTTTGTCTTCTAGTGCATTTAGGACCTTGTCGTAGTGATTCAATAGTTGAGACAGACAGGAGCGACCTGTTCTAAAACCATGTTGCCTGGGTTGTGTAAAATGATGGTTTCTAGATGGGTGGTGATCTTGCTTCTTAGGACCCTTTCAAAGATTTTTATGATATGGGATGTTAGTGCTATTGGTCTGTAGTTCTTTGCTGTTGCTTTACTGCCCCCTTTGTGGAGTGGGGCTATGTCTGTTGTTTTTAGTAACTGAGGGACGACCCCGTGTCCATGCTCCCTCTCCATAGGATGGAAAAGGCTCGTGATAGGGGCTTCTTGCAGTTCTTGATGAACACAGAGTTCCATGAGTCTGGCCCTGGGGCAGAGTGCATGGGCATGTCATTTATCGCCTGTTCGAAGTCATTTGGCGTCAGGATAACATCGGATAGGCTTGTGTTAATCAAATTTTGTGGCTCTCTCATAAAAAATTCATTTTGATCTTCGACTCTCAGTCTGGTTAGCGGCTTGCTAAAAACTGAGTCATATTGGGACTTGAGTAGCTCACTCATTTCCTTGCTGTCATCTGTGTAGGACCCATCTTGTTTAAGTAGGGGCCCAATACTGGACGTTGTTCTCGATTTTGATTTGGCATAGGAGAAGAAATACTTTGGGTTTCTTTCGATTTCATTTATGGCTTTTAGTTCTTCCCGCGATTCCTGACTCCTAAAGGATTCTATGGACTCAAGTTTGAACTTGAATTTTAAAAACTTAAAATCATAAAGTATTTGAGATTATTATATTTTTATTTGAGTTCATTCCTGAACTTAAAACATTTTATTATACTAGAAATAGTCAGTGTAGCTTACACATAATTATATAGAGGATGAATGCTACTATGTCTTTGCAAAAAGAACACTGGTAACTTACATTTACACTTAATTATTATTATAGGAATCGGATAGTACCCAGGGAAGTACTATCGTCCTGCCAAATATATGTGAAATGGAAACCTGTAATTTTTTACACAATGGTAGGAATGCTGGTGTCATTTTCTGTCTCATAAACACGCAAGAAAACAGGTACATCTTGCTACTTCTACTTACACTTAGGCACACTACATGTACATGTACATTTTTTTTTTTAACATGGCCATTTCCCACCTAGGCAGGGTGGCCCAAAAAGAAAGAAAAACCCAAAAAGAAAGAAAAAACTTTCATCATCATTCAACACTTTCACCATCACTCATACATAATCACTGTCTTTGCAGAGGCTCTCAGATGAGACAGCTTAGATGTCCCTCCAAACTGCCAATGTCCTAAACCCCCTCCTTTAAAGTGCAAGCATTGTAATGTACTTCCCATTTCCAGGACTCAAGTTCGGCTAACTGATTTCCCTGAATCCATTCACAAAATATTACCCTGCTCACACTCCAACAGCTCATCAGGTCCCAAAAACCATTCATCTCCATTCACTCCTATCTAACATGCTCACACACACTTGCTGGAAGTCCAAGCCCCTCACCCACAAAACCCCCTTTACCCCCTCTCTTTGACTTTTTCAGGGCCAATCCCCCTACCTCGCCTTCCTTTCCGTACAGATTTATATGCTCTCCAAGTCATTCTACTTTGTTCCACTCTCTCTAAATGACCAAACCACCTCAACAGCCCCTCTTCAGCCCTCTGACTAATACTTTTAGTAACTCCACATCTCCTCCTAATTTCCACACTATGAATTCTCTGCATAATATTTACACTGCACATTGGCCTTAGTCACGACATCTCCACTGCCTCCTCGCTGCAGCATTTACAACCCATGCTTCACACCCATATAAGTGTGTTGATACCACTATACTTTCGTACATTCCCTTCTTTACCTCCACAGATAACGTTCTTTGTCTCCACAGATACCTCAATGCACCACTCACCTTTTTTTCTTCCTCAATTTTGTGGTTACCCTCATTCTTCATATACTCATCATGCACATATATATACACCAATCTAAATTTTCTCTTATCTTTCTAAATAGTTCTTGTTCTTTTTATTTCCTTTCATCTCCATGGAGAATTATTATTATAATCAAAAAAGAAGCGCTAAGCCACAAGGACTATACAGCGCTGCAGGGCAGGAAGGAAGCGAGGGCATCAGGTGGCAAAAGGGAGATGGATGAGTAATAGGTTACGGATAACAGCGGGGTAGTGGATGGTGAAAGGGTAAAGGGCAGCAAGAGACTGAACTAGAAAGGGCTGAGGGGAGTGCGAAAAGTATCATCAGAGTTTGTGTAGTAAATCAGTCGTTGTCAAGAAGTCAATGAGAGAGTCAGGATTAAAGGAGGGTCCACCAGCAAGAAGGAAGGTAAAGAGAGAGTATAGAACGAAGAACGACGACGGAGGTAAATTCTGTGTGCCGTTGATAGAGAGGGCAGTCTAACAGAATGTGGCTAATCGATACTGGAACTTGACACTGCTCACAGAGAGGAACAGGTGCCTCTCCATGAATACCCATGAGTAAGACGAGTGGGGCCCAAATGCGAAGGCGGGAGAGAGGGTCTCCCAACCTCGGCACTGATGACAAGAAAGGGCCAGTAACCTATGGTCGGTTTTAAATAAAAACGAAAGTTTGTTACCGAGCAGAGTTTGACCAACGTTGTTGCCAACGGTGCGAAGGTGGTAGCTATTGCAGCAATTAGTCCAAAATGGAACACCTCTATAGGAAATTGGTAGGTCATGTACTGCTGACCGCGCACCATGTCTGCCTGTTCATTGCCCTGTACGTTGAAAAGACCAGGGACCCAACAAAAAACAATATCTTTATGTTTGGTAGAGATACGGCGTAGCCAAAGTTGGATACGGAGAACTAGGGATGAGATGTATCAAATTTTCGTATACCTGTAGAGCACTAAGGGAGTCTGAGACTACTACAAATGATGACACAGGCATAGAGCGATACGAATAAGTGCTGGAAGAATGGCATACAGTTCAGCAGAAAAAAATGCTAGCTGAAGATAGTAAATGCCCCCGCATGACGCTGTCCGGAAACACTGCTGCGAATCCAACCCACCTGAAGACTTAGAGCCATCGTGTACACAGCGGTGGCATGAGAATGGGAGGGGAATGACAAGAAAAAGAGAGCGGGAAGCCACCGTAGGCAGTTGAGCTTTCGAGCAAGGGAGTGAGAAAGAACAGACCCGAACAGCTGAAACTTCCCAGGGGGTAGGGAAAAGTGAGATCCCCATGAACATATAAAGGTGGTAAGTAAAGGGGAAACAAGAGTGAATGTAGGTGAAGAGAAAGGGACGGAGCGAACAGGGGCGGCGAACGAAAAAGAATGTCTACTAATATCGGTGACCTTTCAAATAAATGAAAGGATTGTGTAGATCGTGAGAGCATACATAGTAGCAAAGGAAAATGGGCATAAACGGCGATCAGACAAGGATGGAACATTCGCTTCTGCATACAGGCTCTCAACAGGGGAAGAGCGAAAAGCACCAAGGCAACAAACGAATCCTTGGTGAGGTAATTTTAAGGCTAGAGAGAGTAGCAGGAGAGGCCGGGGAAAAAATCTGGTCACCATAATCGAGTTTTCGATAAAACGAGGGCTGAATGAGGCAAGCAGAGTTCACGATCAGCTCCCCAGGAAACATGAGAAAGGGGTTTTTAAGAAGGTTAGCCGGCTG